CACTCCCCTCTAGGACCTGTCTCTAACCGGGACACTCCCCTCTAGGACCCGTCTCTAACCGGGACACTCCCCTCTAGGACCCGTCTCTAACCGGGACACTGACCTTTAGGACCCGTCTCTAACCGGGACACTCCCCTCTAGGACCTGTCTCTAACCGGGACACTCCCCTCTAGGACCTGTCTCTAACCGGGACACTCCCCTCTAGGACCCGTCTCTAACCGGGACACTGACCTTTAGGACCTGTCTCTAACCGGGACACTGACCTTTAGGACCCGTCTCTAACCGGGACACTCCCCTCTAGGACCCGTCTCTAACCGGGACACTCCCCTCTAGGACCTGTCTCTAACCGGGACACTGACCTTTAGGACCCGTCTCTAACCGGGACACTCCCCTCTAGGACCTGTCTCTAACCGGGACACTCCCCTTTAGGACCCGTCTCTAACCGGGACACTCCCCTCTAGGACCTGTCTCTAACCGGGACACTCACCTTTAGGACCTGTCTCTAACCGGGACACTCACCTCTAGGACCCGTCTCTAACCGGGACACTCCCCTCTAGGACCTGTCTCTAACCGGGACACTCCCCTCTAGGACCCGTCTCTAACCGGGACAGTCACCTCTAGGACCCGTCTCTAACCGGGACACTGACCTCTAGGACCCGTCTCTAACCGGGACACTCCCCTCTAGGACCCGTCTCTAACCGGGACACTCACCTCTAGGACCTGTCTCTAACCGGGACACTCCCCTCTAGGACCCGTCTCTAACCGGGACAGTCACCTTTAGGACCTGTCTCTAACCGGGACAGTCACCTTTAGGACCCGTCTCTAACCGGGACACTCCCCTCTAGGACCTGTCTCTAACCGGGACACGCACCTCTAGGACCTGTCTCTAACCGGGACACTCCCCTCTAGGACCCGTCTCTAACCGGGACACTGACCTTTAGGACCCGTCTCTAACCGGGACACTCCCCTCTAGGACCCGTCTCTAACCGGGACACTGACCTTTAGGACCCGTCTCTAACCGGGACAGTCACCTTTAGGACCCGTCTCTAACCGGGACACTGACCTTTAGGACCCGTCTCTAACCGGGACAGTCACCTTTAGGACCTGTCTCTAACCGGGACACTCACCTTTAGGACCCGTCTCTAACCGGGACACTCCCCTTTAGGACCCGTCTCTAACCGGGACACTCCCCTCTAGGACCTGTCTCTAACCGGGACACTCCCCTCTAGGACCCGTCTCTAACCGGGACACTCCCCTCTAGGACCTGTCTCTAACCGGGACACTCACCTCTAGGACCCGTCTCTAACCGGGACACTCCCCTCTAGGACCTGTCTCTAACCGGGACACTGACCTTTAGGACCTGTCTCTAACCGGGACACTCCCCTCTAGGACCCGTCTCTAACCGGGACACTCCCCTCTAGGACCTGTCTCTAACCGGGACACTCCCCTCTAGGACCTGTCTCTAACCGGGACACTCACCTCTAGGACCCGTCTCTAACCGGGACACTCCCCTCTAGGGCCCGTCTCTAACCGGGACACTGACCTTTAGGACCTGTCTCTAACCGGGACACTCCCCTCTAGGACCCGTCTCTAACCGGGACACTCCCCTCTAGGACCCGTCTCTAACCGGGACACTGACCTTTAGGACCTGTCTCTAACCGGGACACTGACCTTTAGGACCCGTCTCTAAACGGGACACTCCCCTCTAGGACCCGTCTCTAACCGGGACACTGACCTTTAGGACCTGTCTCTAACCGGGACACTCCCCTCTAGGACCCGTCTCTAACCGGGACACTGACCTTTAGGACCCGTCTCTAACCGGGACACTCACCTTTAGGACCTGTCTCTAACCGGGACACTCCCCTCTAGGACCCGTCTCTAACCGGGACACTCCCCTCTAGGACCCGTCTCTAACCGGGACACTCACCTCTAGGACCCGTCTCTAACCGGGACACTGACCTTTAGGACCCGTCTCTAACCGGGACACTCCCCTCTAGGACCTGTCTCTAACCGGGACACTCCCCTCTAGGACCCGTCTCTAACCGGGACACTCCCCTCTAGGACCCGTCTCTAACCGGGACACTCACCTCTAGGACCCGTCTCTAACCGGGACACTGACCTTTAGGACCCGTCTCTAACCGGGACACTCCCCTCTAGGACCTGTCTCTAACCGGGACACTCCCCTTTAGGACCTGTCTCTAACCGGGACACTCCCCTCTAGGACCTGTCTCTAACCGGGACACTCCCCTCTAGGACCTGTCTCTAACCGGGACACTCCCCTCTAGGACCCGTCTCTAACCGGGACACTCACCTCTAGGACCCGTCTCTAACCGGGACACTCCCCTTTAGGACCCGTCTCTAACCGGGACACTCCCCTCTAGGACCCGTCTCTAACCGGGACACTCCCCTCTAGGACCCGTCTCTAACCGGGACACTCACCTCTAGGACCTGTCTCTAACCGGGACACTCACCTCTAGGACCCGTCTCTAACCGGGACACTCACCT